TTATTATTAAACTACTGTATGTAGTTTTCTTCTATTCACATTTGATATCACGAAAGCTACAGTATTGTACTACTGTATGTCTACTTTCTATTTCATTCATATTTAATATCAGGAAACAATGCCGTAGCCAGGATTTTCAAACAGAGAGGGAGAATATCAGGGTCGACTCACTTTATGCATAAAATTCGAATAATGTGGACCCATTTTCTTAAAAGTTAATCTATCTTTAATACGCAAAAATATGAAAAAATCTAGTTCCATTTCCCTAAACTTTTAACTCACTTTAGGCTAAACATGAGAAATCTGAACCCATTTTTTCAAAAAGTGGACTCACTTTATGCATAAAATTGCATAATTTGGACCTATTTTTAAAAATTGTGTGGGACTGTCCCAATAGCTGTCTACAGCATTGTCAGGAAACCTGCCACTTTTTGTAGAATTATATAATTATTTGATCAAATAAATCAGAAGGGTGAAGCAGAAGTGTGAAGCTTCCTACATACAAATTCCACAGCCCAAAAACATAACAAGACATGAAAATAGGACAAATATAATATACATAGAACACGACAATATTATTCCTTCTTCATCACGACAATCAACACATAAAAAATATGACAAAATGTATTCAAATTCTCAAATAAATAAAAAAATTTCTTTTATGGTAAAGGCATACATGTAATAATACTATACCTAATGAATCCAGTGTAGATTTCCTGTGAAAGAATTGAGTTGTTTAACATTTCATCCATCTCTTTAGCATGTTTTCAATGGTGGTAGTTATAGTAGACTTACTGTACAAGCAATAAACCTTATTTAATAGTACAGTAATATGCACGCATGTTTACTTTTGTTCACTATGCTTTAGCTGAGTAAACAAATCATTCTTTTGAATGTTTTTTGAATCTTGACCACAAATTTGCTGAGGCCCATATTTCATTATTGTGACATCAAAGGTGATTTGTTCCCTTTTTTACAAAAGCAAGCCAAGTAATTACGGTTTTGAATTGTTTTTCATAAACAACATCCTATTTCTTATTCTTCTCATTGTCCCACACAAAATGTTTGACAAAAACATAGTAGTGGAGATGTATTTTAGCTTGGTGATTAAGGTACTTTCCTTCCAATCCCAAGGTCCTGGGTTCAAATCCTGTGACATCTCAACTCCCAAAGCCTCGTAATGAGACTTTGCTATTATTATCATTCATTTATTTAAGAGGGCCTCTGAATATCAGCCGACCGTCTAGGATACACTGGGTCACCCTCTATAAATATGGTGAAAAAAAAAAAAGATATTTCAACAAAACAAACAAAATGAAAAGCATTTTTTTAGACAAGATTTAATATATCTCTTATTCCTATAATATAATATTAAAGAAGTGAGGATAACAATTTTTGGCCTATCGGAGTGATCTGACCTAATCACATAAAAATTTACGAATAATTCCTCTCATATCAGAAAATATATAATGCAATAAGATATACTTTCAACCAACATTATATTAGATTAAAAAAATTTTAAAAATTGGTAATTAAAATCAAATTCAATAATATAAAAATACTCCCAATCTATTTGTGCATTTAACATTACTTTGTAAAAATATTTCCATAAAAAAAAAAAAACACAAAAATCAAACCCTTTGAAATAATACAGAACTCAATAATCAGAGAAAAAGCCATTTTCATTCAATCTACTATATTAAATTTAATTTAAAATTCTTTAATATTCCCCCAAGGTACGTTCAATACGTCTTTATAATACATTAAAATAAATGATGAATATCTTTTTGGAAATTTTGACATACAGTGTAATAAATTCTATTAAATAGAAATGTGTGCCAGTTGAATATAATAACCAGTGATTTATGAATACATATGTCATGTATTGTGATAGTCAATGGATTCATTACAATTTGTAAGAAAAACATGAATATATGCACAATATGCTAAAAAGACTTGACCTTGCTCAGATATTATAGTGTCATCTGTTTTCTGATGATGAGAGCAAGATATAATTTGGCTGACCTTAAAAATGAATCCTACCATATTTAATATTCTTATACAGTACATTTGTAGTATAATGATCAAATATGATAAACTATTAGAGGCCCTACTATAGTGAATAATTGAGTAGTTACAGTACTGTACGATAGCCTTAGCTTTTTGAATGGCTTTACAAAGCAGCTGAAATATATATCCGGAGATATTAAAGTAAATAGATAATAGTATGTAGAGGATTAATTATATATAATATTATGCATGGGATGTAGAAATTTAAATACAAAGCTCATTAGCAACATATGATTAATAATGAATAATTAATGGTAAATAGGAAAGTTAATCAGTTTGAAGAAATATGAATAAATGATAAATATAATTAAATAATAAAACTGGAATAAGAAATGAGAAATAATTAATTCAATAATTATATTTGATAAGGAATTTTTTTTTTTTAATGTATTAATTGTAAATAATGAAATATGGAAGGATCAATTCTGAAAAAAGGTAGAAATGTTAATTGTAATTCATAAGGTAAAAAAACTGCTGTGCTAGAGCAATGTCATATATTGAACTACAACCGTGAAATCTTATTAATACTAAAAACAGATTTGTTCATAATATTTTTTTTTTAAACTCAATAACTACTAAAACAAAACTACAGGTACTAAAAAAGGAATACTTGCATTTCTTGAAGAGAAGGTACTGTAAGAAAAATACATGGTATATTTTTTTTACTTAAGGAAATTTACACGGTTTACAATATAGGCTTTTGTTTTTATTGTATAGTTAGTCATATATCATTCAGAGATGACATGTTACTATACTTTGGCCTTTCCCTTTAAAAACAGGAATAACATTACAAAATGTTGTCGCCGTTATATATCAAACATGTCACTGTACAAATATGACTTATTATCATTTTTATTTTATTTCCAGTTTTCAGTTTTGATTGGTTTAAATTGGCTCCAACAAAGAATATGGAATTATGGGATACTTTTAGCATTTGACATTGTGGACAAGCATACCAATGCATCAATAACAGTTTTCACCGTTTCCATTTAAAATTATGGGCCATTATTATTCCTTGTAATTGTTTCCATTCCAGGAAATATAGAAACCCTGCACATTTAGGGCCTCTGCGCCTTGCAGCATCATTATGGCCACTAAAAGTTAAACCCACAATGGTGCATGGCCTGTAAAACATCTGTCCTATGCATAGAGTTATAGTAAGAATACTAGAGCGCTAACTGCAATATATTTGGTGTTCGAGCTCTATGTGTACCATCCAAGATGGCTGCCAGAGATTTAACCAATCAAAATTCACCTAAAAATCATCATTTTCAACGGTGCCCTCCATTCACACATGAAAATTGAGTATAGCTAAGTTACCCGTATGTTCAAACGCAAGCGTTTGAGTGTACCATACACAATTTAAATTTTCATTCCTTAGTACTTTATTTTTAAATCAGATACTCCACTTAGCCTCTTTTTGGTTACGATAGTTTAATAATTTATTAATATTATCAATAATCAATATTAATGATTAATGAAATATAGTTCGAGGGCTTACTTATGGTTATAATATGTACAATAAGCCTGAAAGTGGCACTTTCCTACAGCGGCCATCTTGGATAGTACACATACTGTACACAACTCGGCACTGCTTCGTCGCCCAGTCAGCACTCTACTGCAGTTGTAATAGATCTATGATACCATGTAGCATCATTGCTACTGGAATCCTATACCATGGCACCATAGACTAGTAAACCCATTCTATACCACATACTGTAGCAATAACATAATGGGCCACTTAAAACCCCGGCACCATGATACATTATGAGCCTGTAAATTAGTCTGTACTATGTAGCATCATGGGCCAAATAAACTCCTGTCACCATGAGAAAACAATAAAAATACAAATTGTATTACTGGTATATACTGAATATGTAAGAAGATTACCAATTTACGAAGCAAAAGTGCAGTACACTAAACAACAGTAAAATATACTGGTGATATCAAAGAATTGCTATCGCAACAACTAAAGATATCATAGAACTGATTGCGTCTAAAGATGCATAGAAACCAAACTATATTGCATATTACAGTATTATAATGTGGAATATCAAATACATACCCATGATTGAAACCATAATTTCATACTTTTATAATAGTGCTAATAATGATTAAATTGCTATGTAAGTCAGCATTTCTATATCGTTCTATTCAACATTATGGAAGTATCTGTTCATATTAGACACATAAAAAAGAATCTATTGAAAGCTAAAGCATGAATATAACTTTGCAAGAAGAGAGGCTATCTTGTAAACTAAAAGCATAGATGGATATGGATATCTACTGTATGTGTTCAGTTATTGAATATTATACTGTTTTTTATTTATTGAAAAATATTTAGTGTCACTGATAGGATTCAAACCTATAGTAAGACACTCTGTATTTGTTTTCATTATGGATACTTTCTACACAAGGTATTACCACAGAGAAAATACTATTTTATCTACGGTATTACATATTATGCAATTAATAGTTCAAATACATGATATTGGACTTTGGTATGAAGAAACACATCCATGATAAGTAAAAGTATGTATCAATCATTCAAATGGTAAGAATAATTATCATTCACTTGAAAAGTAGATTTCATAAAAAAAGATGAGGTACAATATCAAACTTATAAAGAACTATATGATAGGAATTATAGTAGAATTATAATAATGTTTTCAGAAATAGGAAACATGACATGGCAAAGATATTAGTTGGTATGAGGAATATATAGTAGATGACAACAAGTGGATGGGAGAGATTATAGAACAGATCCTACGAGAAAGGGTAAATCATTCCATTAAAAAATAATGTTATGACATTGAAAAATTAAGAAATAATGTTATAAAACTGAAAATGGAAAGATAAATACAAGGACAAATATCTTGCAGAATATAATGATAATTATTATAATAATAATTATAATAATTATTTATAACTTACAGATCAATATACCAGGTAGTTCGGCTTGCCATGTCGAATTCACAGAGAGCGTCTCTATCGGAAAAAAATAAAGTGATTGGAAAAAGATCTAAAACGTATAAATCTTTATTTAAAATCTCTTCGTCCGCACTCAACCACAATTTTGCTATTCAGTAGTCTATGTGATAGACACAGTAAAACACTATTTCACGGTTGAAATCATATCTCAGGTATAAGATACATTAAAGATTCACAGATCCGTTTTTCACCATGCTTCGCAAAACAAGAAATCACGATAGAATAGCAGAATATCAGAGTCTGAAATGCAGCATAATCACATGTACAAATTCTCAATCATAATCCATATTAATCTTGTTCCATCATCCATTATAATTTCTAATGTTCGAATTTCAAGATTCTGAGTGAGGCATCATCAGCAATTAAAGGTAGCCACAGAAAGTAAGCACATAATATACAAGCATACAAATTCATTGGCATTACAGTAGCTGAGTGTGTTTAGTAGGATCGCTAAATTTCATTACCAAACAAATCAGTGTTACAGCCTCCACAAGTCCTTGCGTGCATGTATCTTCCCGTATACTACGAATCCATACAAAAAAAACACTGCATTCAGATACTGAGAATAAACAGATTTGATTGATTTTACAGGAAACAACACTAACAATAATTTCAGATGTTATAAAACACACAAAACCAAAACCTATCAAAGTTTCAAAGAAATTAATTTTTGCTGGTTTTGTTGATTTTTATCTCAGTTCGACGTCGATAATTATTTGCGTTGTTTCCTAATGGATTTTCCAATAGCACTGTTAGTTTTGAATTCTATACCCCAAAATTGGTTTAACTTTGACCTCTATAACAATCTCACTAAACCCATAGGATTATGTTTTTAATTTTGATAATCCGGCCTAACTGATGTAACCTTTTTTAAGGATTTTAAGTTGTTTCGCTATTGTCAGATTAAAATGAGATGCGAAAACTGAAACACATAATAGTATTCAGTGTCTTGTTTCATTGCCAAATTGTCACCAAACATAATTCGGAAAATAAAACAAATATTTGCATTAAAAAAAAATTATACAAAACACTTAAGTTGTAATAGTTTCAAAGAGATGCCATAATTTTGACTAACATTCAAATTTGGAGTATTATTTTGTAATCAACACCCGATGAAATATCTGTTGGCAAATGTCAACCAATAGGTTTCCAAGGCAACCAATACAGTCTATTCAGTCATTGTTGCTAGATTTGAAGTATCCAAATTCAAGAGCTTTGGTCTGTATTAAGCTTTGTTGGTAAAGGTGACACCTTGAATGTTTTTCGGGCTGCCATATAAGTAGCTCTTAGAAACATAATATTGGGCTTCAACTACTTATATATCTCCTCAACCACTACTTCTTCCCATTTCTCCCACATAAACCTTACCTGGGGGCAGCGACAAGATTTCAAGTTGATTTTTAATATCTGCAATAATTCCAACTACAAGTTTAAAAATCACCACAATTATTGATGAATAATTTCCATACTGAATAATACATCAGTACATTAGCTATTGTACATTACTCGTTAGAATAATTCCTGAACAGATGAACAACGGCATAAATTAATTATCTCTACAGTAAGTCTGAAACTTCCGTGAAAAATCTTTCATGAGTATCCAGTATGAATTCATATTGAGGAATGTATCGTTGACAGTACAACTCGGGATTAAATGACGGTCTATCGTTTGGAAAAAAAAACTGATAGAATTCGTAAAGGAATACCAGTGGATCTTGTATCAGTGGGCAGCTATGAGAAAGAATGTGCCCTGTTATGCAGACACTCGTCAGCCATATATCATCCTGATTCTAAATGCAAAAGTGTATTTTGACATATATACAAGCCATTGGGCAGAGAAAATAATACACGTACTAGAATCCTACTGTAACAGACTATAATAAACATAAGGAGAAAAATATTAAACATTAAATATTCATATTATGATGGGTACATTCATAACCAATCATATTACTGTACTGTATATTAATTTGATTTATTACTCAAAACATACTGTATGGATTCAACTTTTCAATTTAATTTATTCAATATAACATCAAAGAGAAGAAAAACAGGCATTGACATTTTGAAAAACGTGCAGAAAAAAAATCATATAAAATATCTTTTACAATATTTGTACAATAAAGTAAAACCTTTTCTTTATTATAATAAAGCTTCAAAAGAATTACATGTAGAATTACTATGTTGCTTTAAAAATATTACAAGAAAAAACATAGAATTAACTATTATTATTATTATTATTTTTTATTATTAGTAATAATTGGATATCAAAACTATTCAAATTTTACAGTAATTGAATAAATTTTAACTAAATTATTAATTTTAAATGGAACTTAAAAGCAAACAAATGCAATTTTAATCTTTAAAAAAATTTTTATTTTATAATATTAAAAAAATCTTACACTTAATTAATTTAATATGTATTACAATATAATTACTGAATATGAACAATTAAGATCAAGCTCTTTGTAACAATTTCACATTTCAAAATCACAGTTTATAAATGTAACTGACATAGAAAATGTAAAAAAAAATCCCATAAAATTAAGAAGTATTGGATTATACTGTGCACTCTCTGAACTGATTTACTGTATTTGATTTACTATCAGAGACATTTACAGAATTAATTAAAATACACAACCTGCCCTGTTTCCAACAAGTAGAGCAAGTCGTGCAATTCAAAAGAAAATATCTTTTTCTGACATATATACTGTATAAACTCTCAAAAATCCAATTAAAACATTAAATTATAAATAGCTCACTTAAAAAGTTCAAATAAGGTATCAATTTCCAATACAACACAAATCAGTATGAATTAGAATGGAGTATGCTTGCTCTGTATAGGATCCCCACACTTAAAACATAACTAAGGTGGTCTTGAGAAGGTCCAACGACGTGCAGCCAGATGGCTCACCAGAAGATTTCATAGAACCTCAAGTGTCAACATGATGGAGTAACTGAACTGGAACACGTTGCAGAACAGGAGAAAGGAAGCTAGATACTGGGTCTTCTCCAAGTATAGCAACCAAAAGGTTATCATCAACTCTGCATTTTCCCCCAAGAAATGACCTGCTCTAAGAACACTGAGGAACTCGCATCCAAACCAATTTTTATCTAAAGCTTACAGAACTGACTACTGTTTATGGACCTTCTTATTTTGTACAGTAAGAGAGTGGAATGAGGAACATAAAGATATCTAATCCTCCAAGATGTTCCCTTTTCTTTTTCAAATTAAAAAAAAAAAAGAAAAGGAAAAGAAAAGGAAAAGGAAGAGAAAATGGGGGAAAGAAGAAATAAAGAAGGGTAGGAGAAAAAAGAAAATAGAAAGAAAGAAAAAAATTTAATTAAATTTAAATTAAAACTAAATAAAACCCAACAACTGGCTGTGAAGGACTGCCACTACATCTCCTACAGTTCCACGATAATCAACATGATGATTGTGGGAACTCAAGACGATGAATTTAGTCTCTGAATCGAGGCATGGGTTCGAATCCAACTTCTGACACATTTTTATAAGACCCCAAAATACAGTAACTATATAGATTTGAATGGTTATTCTAGAAAATCCCATTATGCTTTATGTATTATTTTGATACTTATTTTTCTAAATTTTATGTTATTTTACAAATACTGTAATTTTTTTTTTTTATTATTAAATTCAAATAAAATCCTTAAATAAGATAATCACAATAACTATTAGTGGCTTTTTAAAATTAAATAATATTTAAAACTGTCATTTTTAGTTTTGTAATATAAATTAACAATTATATACTGTAAAAGAATACTACTGTATATATTATTTATTTGGTTTTTTTGAATATCTTGTCTTTTATAATTTGTATTTAACTTGAAATATGCATAGTTTCTATAATATGTCTTTTTCAATTTACAAACGACTTCGTTTAATATCAAGTTTAGTTAACGGCGATGAAGTTGTTCAGTAGTTATTAGAATACTCAACGAAATTAGCCGGGAAAATGTTCCAGACACAAGGAAGAAAAAAAACTGTTACTAAGGCATCTTGTACTTCGTTGCCAAGCAAATCTACTAATAATGGCAACCAGCCATTATAACAGTAATAAGGGTAACATTTTTGCATCTGTTGGTTTGTCAACTAAATTGTTGCCTGAGTCAACAACAACGCGGGACATCTTAATCAGGATTACACATCAATACCGTCCTTGAATCAGCCTAAACAACTACAATAATACACATCTACTATAACAACTTATCAATGTTATTTTATTTGTTAAAATATTAATTATAACAGTAACGTTTTTTTATTTTTAAATCAAAGTCTCTTTGCTACCAGCAAGTCAATTATGTACATAATTTTTTACAAAAAACATTGTTTATGTTGAAGGCAATTGAATATTAAATAAGTATGTTGGGAAAAAATGAAAATATTCATTATCATAAATTGTTACAGGTACATTTTTACAATAATTAATTTTTGATTGTTTTGACAATGAACTTCTGTAAAAACTTTTAAAATGGCATGTATTCAGAAGTATATTTAGTTAAAATATTTATAATTTAATTAACCAATTTGAATATAAATATGCAGAAGGTGGTTTAATATCTTTTTATTGGCTTTTAACCATTTCTCGATAAAGGCCTATAGTCTTCAAATAATTTCATTAGGTTTCCATATATTCATATATATTCCATATTCATATTCATTTATTGATTTCATTTTATGAATTTACCAATCTAAGGTCTAGGCCTATAGTATTTACTATACAACATACAGTAATAATAATATAACGTAATATATAGTGACTTTATACCAAGGCTAGTATGATGTGGTTTAATACAAAATATACAAAAGCTTATTGGTTTAAAGAGAGCAATTTGGTTTGTTGATAAAGCTAAAAAATATTCAAAATCTTTCAATTCAATTCACATAAAAAGAAGTTTTTAAAGTAAGTATTCTTCATAATTGACAATTAGATAACAAAGGCGGTTCAAGAAAATGAAAATTTTAATTCAAATGA